CATAGCCACACACCTCCCGCCCGGCGGCTCTACGGGAAGCCGAGGTCAGCCCCCCCCTCGTAAAAATACACACCCTCGAGTCCCGCGTTACTCGCCTCCAGGCTCCCCGCCCCGACCCCGGCCCAGCGTGCTCTCACCGCAAAGCTGCTTCAGCCGCTCCTTACTGCGTGTCCCTCTCGGCGTGAGCCTCAGGCTCAGCAGGGAGGCCCCGAGAACGGCGCGGAGCATAGGCCCGCCGAAGCGGACTGGCAGCCTCCTCTCAGCTAAAGAAGCGGTCACAGGCTTCGGTGCCCAGACTGGGAAGGAGGGAGGGAGGGAGGGAAACTCCGAGGGGGGAAGGGGAGGGGGGGAAGATGGAGAAACCGTCTCCGCCGCCTCTACCGCCGCGGCCGCTTCTCTGTTACCCGGGAAATCCCGCCCACTCCGCCGGCCCGCCCCGCAGAGGAAAGACTCAACTTCGCTCCGCCACAGGCTACATTATCCGCCTGTCAAAGGCCTAGCCAATCGCTTGCCTTGCCGGCCGACTGCCCGCCCCTTCCCCTCCGCTGGATGGGGAGGGGTAGCCGCTCACCTTCTCCACGCCCCTATTGGCGGGGAGCGTCCCTAACTCAACCCCGCCTATTGGAGACGAATTGCTGAATCCCACCCCCAAGCCGCAATACTATTGGAGGAAGGAGGGAAGTTCTTCACATCTCATTGGAGGACTCCACATATCCCGCCCCGTACCGTCTCAGCTACAGGCCCAGCAAGTCAGCTCCCGCCCTCGCCGGTCATCGTATTGGAAGGCTACGCCGGCTCTCCCGCTGCCCTAGGAAGGTAAGTAACCGATGTGGGGTAAAATGTCGGTAAGAGAGACAAGGCTCCTCCTACCACACTGCCGGGCCGGGCCCCGCCCCCAGCCATCAGATTGGATATCTTGCGCCCGGTAGAAGCCTCCATTGGGCACGACGCCCGTCTAAAAGGGGCTGACTCCGCCCTGCGCGAGGAGGCTGAACCTCAGCAGTCCTTTTGTGGAATGTTTACACTAGAGATTGAGAGCAGAGTTCCAGGGCCTGAAACAGGAGGTGCTGCAGCGCTCAGCAGCCAAGATCCGGTCCCTGGGATTTGAAGGGAAAAGGTAGCAGCATTACCACCCTGGATGACCCCCTTACAGAAAAAGAAAAGAACCTCATTCTTCCTATCTGTTCTCTCTTTCAATTTACATTTCCGCACGCTGCCTCCTCGTAAACACATATCCAGAGGAGTCGACAACGCCTATCAGTAAGTAGCGTGCAGAATTAAGGACTGGCGACCAAAGCCGAGAAATACCCCCCAGGGGTTGCCAACCTGCTGCACACTTCTAACACAGACATTCCCTAAACCTGAATAAGCAGTCTTAAAAGGGCGGAGATAACCAAAATGCAGGCAGGGCCCTAACAGCCACCGCCCTGGCAAGCCTCCGGAAGGCGGAGCGTGAAGCTTAAGGCACTTGCGATCTCCAGGGAGGCATCCTCAGACTCGAAGAACTGAGGAAGGAGACCAAACAGGCCATGGCATACATAAACCTTCACCCCACACTTCAGAGAAAGGATAAAAATTCCAGAGTTGGGGACAAAAGATAGTAAGGACTGTTCACCTCCTCCTTAGCCAACGAGTGCTAATGGTGGAACATAGACCCTCTTGTGTAGATTATAGTGCCTCGAACACACAAAGTGGTTGCAGTGCTTAAGTTGCTTTTATTTACTAAATTTTATTTACTAAAATAAAATTATTAAATTTTATTATTTAATAATAATAATTTTATTATTAAATAGGGCGAACTGACCCTGTCCTTGCTTTGGAGGGCGCTCACAGAGCGCCAGGAAAGGAGGGGGCGGGACTAGGGTTTTCCCGCTCTCCAGAAAAATGGCCCAGTCCACAAGTGGCAGGCCCCAGGGAACCTCGGTCCTATCTTGTCCTCCCTACGCAATCCAGCGGAGACGGCAGAAGCGAGCGTTGGCAACAGGTGGACCTGACTCCAAGGGTAGCTTCCAGCCACAAGGACAAGGCAACTTACTGTGAACCCCACGAGCAACCGACAAATGGGAGCAGCCTTGCCAGGAGCCAAGCCCTGCCCCAGGACAGAGCTCTAAAAATAAGTAACACCGACTAAAGCGAACCCCGGGCCAAACCCCTCAGAGATTTCGAAGGAGCGGCACTGCTGCAGAACTGACCGGGGTCTACCTTTAACTCTGGGTCGTCTCTACTCCCTGGACTGGGTGCAGCTCTGCGCTCTCACCTGATATCAAGAACCACTACGAACCCAAGCAGGATTCGGCCACCGTGCCCCCCACCCCTCCAACTTCTCTGTCAACAAGGGATGAGCTGCCCTGGATCCAGCATAAGGCATCCAGGCCAATCCTAGATTGCTTAGTTTTAGATAAACCCAACTAAGTACAGCGGCTGCCTTGCGCTGATAAGAAACCACACTGCCAGCGTCCGTAGCGTTCTCAAGCTTGAGCTCAGGGCGATCTTTGGGAAGTCAAGGAGCGCGGGAACAGCCAGGCCGCAGAGTCACAACTTTAGTACTTGGCCCGGAAGGGCAGATAGCACCCTCTGCAGAACCCAAAGCGCTAAGTCCCTATATCCACTCCACACCCTAAACCCTTAACTCCATCGCAAAGGCTACCAGATCTCGAGCCTTGAAGGATCATTGTGTTGTTATTCTCGGCTCTCTCCGCCAAACCTTGCCAAAGGCTTCAAGCTCGGTACTTCCGGGCGGGAGGATAGTTCGAAGAAGCAAGGCGGTCCTCACACATGTGCCTACCGCGCACGCAACCTGGGGAGGGGTCGGGAGGCAGGGGTGGACTTTCCCCCTCCAAGATCACTACGCCGGAGGCGAGACAACACATCCCACCAATCAGAAGTAGGGGCGGGACCTTGCTCCTCGCATAAGCCGCAGGAATCCTCCCTCCGCTCTTCACGGAAAAAAATCCTAGCAACTTAAACTCCAGCCCGGCCTCCGATAGGCGGAGCTCGGGAGAATGTCATCCAATCGATAACCGAGAAGGATAAGAGGGATTCTCGCCCAGCCAGTGAAAGACAAGAGAAGGCGGGCCCTCTAAACGAGTCCGAGGTGGGTGGAAGACAGGAAGAGCTCCGCCCCACAGCTCTCCTCGGCGCCAGTAGTACAAGCAGTGGTCCGAATAAGTAGTAAACAGCATAGGACAAGGAGTGGAGGCTGAAGGGGCCGGGCGCTCTGTGGGCCCAGGTCCCCGTTCCACCTCTCCTGGAGTCGTTCCGACCGACCGCAGCGGTTCCCTCCGGAGCCCCGCCTCCCAGCCCGCGGCCGCCATCCCATGTGACAGGCGCGCCCCTCCCCTCCCGCTGATGCATTTCCTTTTCCCGAGTCCGAGCGTGGAGACTGTTTTCCCAGTTTCCGACCTTCACTGCCCCTTTCAGGCCACCCTCTCGTAGTGCGCTCACACGCCCACGACCCGGCCCCCTCCGCCACCGCCTAGGGGTGGGCGGGGAAGGAGGCCGCTCCTTGTTTGCGGGATCAGCTGTAGCAAGGGTCGAAGCCGCCAAGTTCCTAGAGCTTTTCCACACCCCCGGGCCGAGTTCCGCGCGGGCTCGCGGCCTGGCTGGTTCCGGGGCCGAATGCCGGCTCTACCGCCACGGCCCACGAGTTCGGAACGCCTCGACAGACGCCGAGGGGCTCTTTCCGGTGGCCTCCCAGCCCCCGGCCGCCGCTCCTGCCAGGCCTGCGTTTTCCCCGCCCCCAGAGTCCATAACAACCGCGGGCCCGCGGTGCCCGCGCCTCCCAGGAGCGCGCCCACCGCCCCTTCCGACAAGTTTGCGGACAGAAACCAAACCCTCGGGGCGGCTGCCGCACTCGCCCGGCGTGGTTAGCGAAGAAAGCTGCGGGCCTCGGCTCGCTTGCGAACTCCAGCTTTTGACCCACTCCGTTTCGGAGGGCTCAGGCCGCTGCCCCCTGCCGAGCCCGCGCGCCGCAGCCCGGGCCCGGTTCCAGTCGGTGTGCGGAATCTTTTTTTTTCCTTCACAATAATTTTTTTAAGGCATTTCAGGAGCATGGGAGAGCCTCTCTTGCCCGTCCCCTTACCCAGTCCGCCACCACAACCTACCGAAACCGACTGCTCGGTGAAATAAACTAAGCAGCACGGCCAGCGTACTGGCTACCCCGGGCCGGGCCGACCCCCTCCCCACGGAGCCCTCTCGAGGCTGGGAAACACACACTGGCGAGCGGGCGGCGCCAAGAGCTCTCCTTCCTGGCCTGCCCCTTGCCTTCCTCGGACTCCGAGCCTGCCCAATCTCCGTCTCTGGGCCCGCGGCGCCCGCACTGTGTTGGACCGGCCAAAGCGACCGGCCGGCGAACTAGCCCCCCAAACGCCCGAGATTGGGGAGACCAAATTAAAAGCAGCTGTTAAACATACCTTGCGAGCTAGGCGAGGAGTCCTGAATGGGGGGAACGCCCCCCACGGACCATTGGCTCCCAAGTGCTCGCGTCAGTTACCATCGGCCCGCCTCCTCCCCTCGCCCCACCTCTTTCCTTCATTGAACTCCCCCTCCCTCCAAAAAAATATATAGATAATTAGCCGCGCGTGGGAGGCGCACCTGTGGCAGAGGACCCTCTCTCTCCGGCACCGCTGCCTCGAGTTTCTTGAGGCTCTTGGACTGGAGGGAGACCTTGTAGGACGTGATCCACAAGGGGAACTGGGAGGAGCCAGCGAGGCTACCCCGTCCCCCATTTCCTACACACACACACACACACACACACACACACGCACACACACACACCACCACCCCATTTGGAAGTGGGGATAGGGGGAGGCTATAGGGACACCCTAGCGACTGGCCAGAATCTCTCAACTCCCCTGGCTGTGTGACCTAGCTGGGTATGACCCATTCTGTTAGGCGCCTGCCTTAAAAATGAACTGTGTAAGCGGTAAGTCCTGCATTAAGGGCAACAGGCACTTGTCTGAACACCTATCGTGGGTGAGGTAGACACATTCATATCGCACCCGCTGCTGGGTGAGATTACAGAGACTGGATAGGATGCTCACACTACCTTACAAGGGCTCCAGACCTAGCTGAGATGATACAGAAAGAGCTAAAGCAGGGCAGAAATGTTATGTCTAAATAGATATTCATAGGAGCTCAGAGCAGGGAGATTCTTTCTAGCTGAAGAAAACTGGGAAAGTCTCATGGAGGAGGTGGCACTCAAGTTGGGCCTTAATGATTTCATCAGGCAGAAACGGAAAGGCAAGTCACTTTCAACAACTGGCACCAAGGAGTAAATTCAAGCCATTGTTAAAGGCCTTCCAGTGTGGCTGTAGTCATGGAAGTCAGGGTTGGAAAGATGGAACCAAACAGCAGACTTCAATACCTGGTTAAAATTCTTGGTCTTGCAGAGTAGAATGTGCAAGCAGC